GCTGTCTTTCTCATTGAATTTTGAGGTCGTTGTAGTAAATTATGATTGATTTCATGACATTCATTAATTGTTTACATCGTACTTTATCAAATGCTTTATTAAAGTCAATAAAACATGCGTATATATCTTGATTGACGTCAAGGCATCATTGTATCAGTATATTAAGTGAAAAAAGAGCTTTACGCTTTATTAGGTCATTGCGAAAACCAAATTGTGTATCAATAACATCTATGTTCAGTTTGGGATATATTCGGTTATGGATGACCTTTAGTAATAACTTTAGCACTATTAGACATTAAGCACCAACTTCTCCGATTGTTTATCATAACATTGTCCCCTCCTTAAGGGATTGTATCTTCTGAAACCTTGTTGAAACTAGAACTGGATGCTAGTATCGGCAACTTGACCCTCTTTTACAACTCCCAGCTTTATAAAAGTAACAAAGAACGGTTTTGACTTTGCAGTAAGAACTATACGGATTGCAGCAGGCTATTGCCTGGACTACGATATCTTTAAAAATCTCTTTTACCATGTCTTGGACCACACTCCAAGCTAATTAACGACACTTAGGGATGGTTAACTTTTGCACGGTGGACTCCAATACGTGCTCTCTTAATTGAAGTAATGTATCCCAATGTTTTTTTTTAGGTAGATTGGTCATGGAAGTGTCTTTTTTTACCAGGTAAAAAAGGTATCGTGATTAATATTTCTTCTAAAGACGAATAATAACTCTGCGCGTGCGTCTTTTTTACTGGTCAAGATGGTATTTGTCGGTGAGTAGTCATCTAGGAGCGCGAATAGATCTTGCTTCTTTTGAGTAGTTCTTCAGTGGTAACGCAATGACTCCCTTTACCGCTACCTTAATGGGTCCCCATGAATTCGTCAAACGTGAGGTCAGATACTTCTTGGCCGTCTTCTAATTTCCACTTCTTCAACCACGTCGTGGTCTCTTTCGTATGGCGGTTGTATTGTACTATAATTGGCTTTCCCATAAGAATCTTGGTTTTTTGGTAGATGACGTTGTTAGGTGTATTTCTTGTTTTTCTTCATACCTAGTCTATCACATATTCCCTGAAATATATCGCTTTCGAAGTTTCTTTCTTTGTCACTACGGTTCTCCAAAGGCACTTCAAATCAGCTGATATACTCTTTGATAAACAGATCTGCAATAGAAGTATCCGTCTGGTCTGAAATTGAGTAGATCTCAACCCACTTTTAAAATAATCCATTACGATCAACATGCATTTATCTTCATGTTCACTTTCTGGAAATGGCCCAGCAATATTAAAAGCTATTCAAGGTGGTCGACAGTTTTCTTCTTTCCTCTTTCTAAATTTTTGTAAAACTGGATCTTTCTCTTTTTCTTCCCTGATTTTAATAGGTGTAACTCATTGTTAACAATTGTTGGTCTTAGCACTGCTGTTTCCTTGGTTCTGTTTTATTACAGTGGGAAAAGTTTACTGAGCACGGCCTTCTAGAAATAAAAAAGGCATTTTTGTGGCTAACTTTGGCCCCATACTTAATATTGAAATCGTATTCTTAAAGTTGTTAAATCCATCTTTCTATCTGACCCCTACATTCTTAAACTTCATTAACCACTTAAAGGCGGCATGGTCGGTTTGGATTAAAAACGTCATTCCATAGAGGTATAATAGAAGGGTTCTATTGATTTCACTATTGCTAGAAGTTCTCTTCTCGTGACGCAATAATTCCACTCAAGTTTTGGAAACACTTCTAAAATATCCGAGGGCTCGTTCCTGTCCTTCTTGAATCTGAGATAGCACTCCTGTAATTCTCACACTATTTGCATGCATATCGCACACCTAGTTCAATAGTGCCACAAGTCCAAAATACAATAATTTCGAGAAATGAGCAAAACGTTCTGTAGCAAACGAGTTATGCCTTGTAAATAATTTATTTTTAGAATGACTGGCTTTAAAATTACAATTTAGTTAGCAAATTATACGCAATTTATTCGCTGGATCTTATTACAATTTATTAAAAATAAAACGTTAATTGTATTTTGATAGTTATGGCGATATTTCATTGTGAAGAATAAAAAAAGTCAACTAGTTCTTACAAAAAATATTTTTATTATTATTATTACAAGTATGTATGAACATTTTTTTTAATTACTATTAACCAAGTCCTTATAAAAATTGTGATGAACAGCTAATATTAAGTTTTTATTGCACAGTTCCAAAAGGTGTTGCTTGGTTTTTGCGGATATCGATGGAGGTTTTATGTACGCCTTTTTAAATCGATTACTGCTTCCACAGTTGCTGAACGCTCCCTTGTCGATGCTTTAAAATGGACCTCTTCGAACTCATCGGTATCATAATCTGTTTTATAGAAGAAAGATCCAGGATTGCTTTTGACAACTTTAATAACTTGGATATCATTATAGACTACCTTTACATCTTTTGTATTCTTTGTAAAATTTCCTTCAACTTTTTGAATTGAGATCTTTAAAGTCATAAAAGTCTTCTGTTGACATTTCTTTTACATTGTAAGGATTTCCCTCTTTTTTGCAGATCTTATGATGACAGGCCATTGTGCAGGAAAATAAATGGGACCTGTTTTAAGTATTTTCTTCTTTTACCTCTCAATAGTTGCGTGCATGGCGTTCCCTTTATTTTGGGTATGTCCCACTGTTAAAAATTTATGTGTGATTGATTTAACATTAATTTTTCCAATTGCATAAAGATACATGGTAACTATAAATTTATTTTTATTTTGCCCAACACAATTGTCGCTATAAAATATAACGTCTTTATCATTACAATGATTTGAAAGATAATCAAACAGACACGTAGCTATTTCGTTTGAGCCGCGGTTAGCAATAGCCTCATGCCAAAAGTAACAGTAAGCAGTCTTTTGCAATATCTGAAAAATTGTAAAGTTAAAGCAGTTCAGGCGGCATTTATAGTAGAAGCTTGAAACATCTCCACAAGGTGTAGGAAGGATCACCTGCAAATCAAAACAAGCTACCAATACTTGAGAATCATCTTTTGCTGTTGCTAGATCTTGTGCTTTTTCTTCTCTGCTTCTAATTTTATTATGGATATGTTTATTATAAGTTTGATGAAGAGTAGCTTGCTGTTCAGCAGAAGAATTTTTATATGATTCACAAATTGCGCACTGATCTTTTTTTGGCTGAAAGAAAGTTATGTTAAACTCAGTTTTGAAAATATGCTCGTAAGTGCATTTTTTAGCCACAGGCCTTCCTTCACTCTCTTCCTGTATTTTGTAGTAGCGATACATTTGAGCTAAAGTAAGTGAACCGTCTATGTATTCCTTTGTAGTTTGTGCTCTAAGATAATGTGATTCTACCCTTTGGAAAGAATTTATGTGTCTCTTATTTTGTTTTTCACCTGTCCAGTAACCGTTTCTCGTTTCATAAAATTTCCTCTCTTATCCTTGTCCACAGATCCTTTACCATCTGATTTTCTCTAAGTTGTTCTAATAAATTTGTCACCAATGTCCAAGGTATTCATGAAAAACTTTTTGCAGACTTTAACTTTTACTCCGTGTATTGTTAAAAAATACGCTAAATTCATACCGCGGTTACTGCCTTCAACCGTTTTTCTGTATTTAGTAACCAACTTTTTCAAATGGAAAGCAACAAATTATCTTTGAAGAGCGTTGTCTTTCAAATTCCAGAAACGTGAATGTATATCATATCTATCAGCATTGCTGAATTTTTGGCTGCATTTTGTACGACATTTTTCTCCACATGCAGGTTTTAAAGTCTTCCCACGTTTTTCTTTGTTGCCTTCTGTAATGTAAGGTAGCCCAGAGTTAACTCGCAGTTTCTTAATATTTCGTTTTCATTCACTTGGTTTTGGTAAAACCTCACTGTGATTTTTGTTGAAATACAAACCTCCGTCAACACAAACAAGATGTCATTCATAATCTCAGAAACCTCTGAATTGTCTCTCAGATTCTCATCATCTTTAAGATAGCTTTGCAAAGCTAGTCCAAGCATTTTTCTTGCCCTTGACATCGTGTTTGATAATAAAGTTAATAATAATATCACTATACACTGTTTTCAGACTTTAAATCAAATAGTTGTACACTAAAAACGTGGATAACTCATGCATAAATAATTGAGAACTGATAAAATCGTACCACTAATCTAACAATTTTTGCAGTTGTGGCCGTACATCGGTTGTATTGTGGCGGAGTGTATTATCGCCACATCTCCTAGTTATGGCCATATTGCATTTCAAAACCCTACAGTGTAATACCGAAATATCTTACTTTATACTTATCCAAGACAATATTTCAGTTAATGTTGTATTGCATTAGATGGGGTAACATATATGCAACCTTTTTAAAGCCTTAACTCAAAATTGGAATTTTTGGAGTTGTGGCAGTATTGAACTAGATGTACGATATCTAAGATAAACTCTCCTTCTGGCTGTAAGTACCCTAATAATGGTGCTGTGATTAAATTCTTCTTCAAGGTCTCAGAGGCAATTTAACACTCCCCATCTTAACAGTAATCTTTTATTTCTTCTGCAAGTCGTGTTAATGGCTTAGAAATATGTGCAAACTTTTTATTAAACTTCCGGTAGTAAGTACATAGCCAAGGAAAAACTTCTCACCTGATGTGTGTTAGTCAGTTCTGGCCATTTATTTAATGGAATCCATTTTTTCCTTATTCACGGCCAGTCCTTCTTTGCTGACTAGGGAATTGACTTAGAAAATTGACTTTACTTTGAAATTATTTCCCACTTCTTGGGGTTTGACGTCAATTGGGCAGCATTAAGTCGATTAAAAATGTTTTTTTAAATATATAGATACTGGATGACTGGTTTACTACTAACAATATGCACAAGTTCTATTTAGACTGACTGTACTGATCCACAGTGTCATAGATCATAGTAGCATCTAAAAAATATTTATATGTTTTTTGGCCACATAATATTTTTAACAGTAATATATTGCCTGTGATCACTATTCTACAATACTCTATAATATATTTAATTTTTTAGGATATTTTGTTAAAGATGTGAATGGTGATACTAGAGCTATTTGGTGGGAAAGTGATGATGCTCATCAGGTCGATTTTACAAATCCAGATGCTGCCAAATGGTTTTCCGATAAAATCCAGGCACTAGCTGACGATCCTGGCCTAGATGGTTTTAAATTTGATGCAGGAGAAACAGACTATGCAATACCGGTAAAAAATTAACTAAACGCTTTATAGGTACTAAAACATAAATAGTAAGGGATGCTATTCATAAAGAAACGCTTAATTGTAGTTTTAGGGTGTAATTTTGATCCAGATGTGACGGTTTTATGCTTAGAATTATTTTTATATGTTTATTATTTATATATTTATACATTTTTGGCCAAATTTCTTCGATTAATTAGTTTTTATGATAAATATGTTTCTACTTCTTCTTATATTACATTTATATTCATAAAACCTTTTTAGCCGCATCAGTTTGATCATGTAGAAGATCAAGAAGAAGTTCCCAACGTGTTCACCAAAAAATATGTTGAAACTTGTGCACAGTTTGGAGACCTTATTGAAGTTAGATCTGCGTGGAGGTATTGATTTATTAAAATGTATTATTACTTTGAAGTATTTATTGTTATTATTGTAGATATAGTGTAATTTTTTTGCATGGTATAAAATGATATTTAATTTTTAGGACACAAAATCTTCCTGTTTTTCTTAGAATGATTGACAAAGATTCTCTTTGGACCATGGACGATGGACTGGAATCTCTTGTAACAACACTTATACAAATGAATATGAATGGATATACTTTGTAAGTCCCAACCACACTCGTATAGTAGCAAATAGCAACATTATATTATTAGAAAGATGCGCTTTCTTAACTGTTGTTTTAAAATCGTGATTTTTGTATTAAGTATATTACTTAAAACGTAAAAATATAAAAACTACCAGTCTTCAAAATAATTTAAACAAGTCCATAAGCTTCAACAGATTAGTTTCTATAAAAACATAGGCAAGTTCTTATAGAAAAATCTCTAGCAGAAAAAAGTGTCAACAATCTTTATTGCCGTATTTCAGACGCCTCAGAAGTTATCACAAGAACCGTAATTTACTTTTACGTATCAAAATGATGACTACCTATTCCACAGCCACTTAAGAGACCAGAAATGAATTCGGCCCTCGGTGCAAAACAATCTAGATCTTAGTAAATATTTGCCCGTTTCAGTGAACATGAAAAATTATTATATGCATTGTTGGTTCTGTCATTGGAAACAAAAAAGTCTGGTTTAGTCGTATTCTAGGGTAAGGTATATGCAGACCAACCTGCTCAAGCAGATGAGGACACAATACTGTATGATTATTTATGTCAGAAAGCTTCTTTACATATTTATTAAATAGTTGGTCATATAATGAGAGAATACTAAGTTACGTTTCAATTTAATCATAAAATACTTAATTTAATTCAAAAGATTTACCTGTTTATATGTTACATATTTAAAGAACTAGTGTTAAACTGTTTCAATTCTTGATACAAATATATTGTAAGATCGAGACCATACACACGAACAATACTCTAGATGAGGTCTAGCTAAAGAAAAATATCATAATTTAATCGCTTTAAGATTTTGAAAGTCTCTAGTGAACCTTTTTATAAAGCTAAACATTTGTAAAGACTTAGAAATTATTGACATAATGCGATTTAAATAAAAGTTTAAAGTCTAAATTAATTCCTAGATCAAGAATTTCGGTGACCCAGTCAACAAGAATGCCCTGTGTATTATAAGTATATTCCATTGGGTCTCTCTTTCGTCCAAAATATACAGCATAACACGGATGTGTTCAAGACCACGGCAATTAACACACACCACTCACTCAACCTATCAAGGTCGTGTTGAAGATTAACACAATCTTGTGTTAATTAATTGTGCAGAACTTAAGATCGTCTGTAAAAAGAAGAGGTAAACTGTGCTGAAAACAGTGATGTATATCATTGTTAAATATGTTAAATGACAAAGGCCCCAAATGAGAACGCTAGGGTACTCCTGAATGCACCTTAATCTCACTGGAAACAAAATCCCTGATACGCATCATCTAAACTCGGTTACTCAAGTTTGTTCTCAGCCATCTAAGACGTGGCCCATCAACACCCATTTTTTTAAGTTTAACTATAAACATATTATGATCGAAGGCCTTGGAGAAATCAGTTTATACTGCTTGTAACCTATAGCCCCTCTCCAAGGCCGTCCTCAGGTTCACAACCAATAATTTATATTAAATTCAGTTGATCTGCTATTCCCAAATCCAAATTGTAGTTTTACTAGCTGTTTTTTAGGTGAAGCTTTAAGATAGTCACATATAAAACATTTAAATATCTTTGGTATTACACTAATTATACTAATGAGAGTAATACACCTTGCTCCAACTGATTACGAAGAGAAAGATCTAAGGAAGAAGAATCATAGGGAGGCGTAGAAAGTCATGGCTGCGCAACCTGAGAGAGTAGTACGCATATAGATCAAATGAACTTTTCACAGCAGCCGTCCCATAAGTCCGAATAGCTATGATAATGGTCGACCTCGGCCGCGGAGATAGCACGTAAAGAAGAGCTATACTAATGGGCCTGTAATTAGTCACCAATTGATTATCTCCCGATTCAAAAATAGATGTTAAAAAACTATTTGTCCAGCATTATGAAAAGTCACTATCATTTAAGGATCGATAAAAAATGTGAAAAAAATCTGGTTATTATAGAAAAGGCAATCCATCAGGACCAAGACCCTTATTCACCTCCAGTTTCTGGTTTAAATGTTAAAGATCTACTGCTTAAACTCCTATGAACTGCAATAAGGGCTCCACCACCTCTTGAGAATAAACTTGTTTCCCTGAAGCGATCAGTTCCATAATGTTGAGGTCAAAAAACTGAAGCTCTTCATCGGCATAGTTACATGATAACCAAGTCTCGTTGAATATGATAATGCTGAAATGAGAATAGGATACATTTATAAATAAACTATGGAGCTTAGTTCTTAGAAATATATTTTGAATATAAACCCGCAGTCCAGGTTCACAAAAGATTGTGTTAGTTTTTAGTAATTATTCTAGGAAGTGTCATTTAAGTATAAATTTTGTACTCTCTTTCTCTTTTTTTCCTTAATTTCACTCTTGAAAGTGTTTAACAGCAGTTTTATGATAGTGTTTAAATTTGAGGGTGTTTTACTTGTACCTTATTTTCACTCGAAAAGTAATATAGGTATTAAAAATGTGCCACTTTATTAGAGTTAATTTAAATTTAACGTTAATTTAATGTTGTCAATGTTGTCTAGAGTTTTACCGGATATGGTTGGAGGTAATTCCTACAGACAAGCACCAACAGCTGAATTAATTGTCCGATGGACGCAAGCTAATGCATTAATGCCAGCATTACAGTTTGGATTTCTACCTTGGGATTATCCTAGTGACAAAGTAAGTATTACTAATTAGTGAGATTTTTATTTAGTTTCTAATTAGTTATGACCAAAGTCTGTACTACTCAATAAATATGTACTTTCAGTTCTAACGTATGTACAAGTGTATAATAAGTATGTAACGTACAAGTGATATAGAGAGCAATGGAGAGGTTAATGTTGAATATATCCACCACAGTCAGAGTTTCAACCCAAATATTTAGGAGAAGAACTGGTGTTACGGATACTGTTAAAATAATTACAACGCTAAAATAAAACTGGGAAGGACATGTTGATAGAGTCATAGATCGAAGATGGACCAAGAAAGATTTTAGAATGGACACCTAGATACGCTGCTTATCGTAATCGCGGACGTCCCCCAAGATGGTGAGACGACGTCAAGTGAATCCAGCACAACTGGATCCAGGGTGCTCAAGATCGGACGCAATGGAATTATTTACGGGAGGCCTATGTTCAGCAGTGAACTCAAAACGACTAATGATGATGATTGATATTTTATTATTGAACCAAAATTTTATTTTAAAAAGATTTAGTAATGGTATTATCATGAGTAGTAGCATACAATTAAAAAAAACAGGTAGTAAGACAAAGAACGTATAGTAAACACAATGTTTAAACACCATCAATGGATATTATCAACATGGTCATACAAGAACCAAATAGATTATATCCTTGTCACTAAACGATTAAGGAGCTCAATAATCAACGTGAAGACAAAACCAGCTGCAAACTGTGGTTCCGACCTAAAAATGTTACAAGCAAAATTTCACATTAAATTACACAGCAAAACAAAGAGATGTTTGGACAAGTATTAGCAAAAGCTGACCTACCAGTGATTACCAGAGACTCTGAGAAAACGTGGGAATACACAAAGAAATGGATAAAACCATCAACAATACTAATCCCAAAAACAAAACAGCTAGGAAAAAACATTAAATGACGTTACTACATCCTTACGAAGGAGAAAAGATAAAAAAGAAACAAGAAAAAATGTGCTAAAAACATCTAAATAGGCAAAATAGACAAAAAAGGCATTTTGCTATATTCTGAACTTTACTTATTAGTGTTTAATATCTTATATAGTAGGTGTTAAATTTATTCTTTTTTAACAGTTTGATTTCTATTACTGTTTTAGTTCGATACTACAGAAATTGTGAGGAAGTACACCAACTTGCATGAGGAATACGGTGACAAAATTATTGAAGCTATGAAAGCCAGTATAAATAAGGGAACGCCAGTAAATCCTCCAATTTGGTGGATCGATCCAACAGACTCATTTTCATACACTATTTATGACGGTAATTTTATATTTTTGTATTAATTAATAGTATATAATAACGTGACAATAATTGATATGATCTGGTGTTTGATACAAATGTTTCTTCGCTATACTTATACGTTTCTCAGTTAGAAAGTTTATTTAAGTTTGTAAACATATTTTATTGAGCACAACCGTTTAAATAAATTATTAATTTACATACGAATGTCAGCAATTTGTAACCCATTTCAAACTTCAAATCATTGTGTAAAATTTTACCAGATGGAAATATTAACTGTTTTCAGTCCACAAAATAAATTTGCTTACTCGATTAAGCAGTTTTTCACAAGTCCAGTTCCCAATCAGATATACAAGCTCAAATAAATAATTAAATATTAAAAAAAAAAAAAATAAAAAAAATTAAAAAAATTATTTTTTATTGTTTATAAACAAAAGCAAGATATTTAATAAAGCTACAAACAAATATTAAATTTTTTAATTAAGTTTTCTTTACTTAACCAAAGCTGGAAACGATTTCAAAGCTTTGTATCTCAAAAACTACTTCCTTTAGGGCAATAGTGATACATATTACCGTTTTTATAACTCCATTGTCTATTTAACCCATTATTGCATAAATTTTTTTTTATCAAAACGAAATCAAAACTTCAAAGTGAAATAAAAAGAGGTTGTTTTTAATAGCAATAAGCAAAATTTACGTTTTCATTCTTTGTAACTGTCTATTTTTTGACGTATGATATATCATACGCTGAGCAATAAAGGACACAATATTGAATAAAACATTTATTTTAAAATTGTTTCAAACTTATGGTATTTGACAAAACATTGCTCGGGATAAAGTCCTTCCTACATTACATTTAATGCATCGATATTTGGTACACTTGCCACATTTGCCGGACCTTCGTTGTTTTTTAATTTTGTTTATCAAATGACCCACATTGTCCAAACGAATTTGGTCACCAACACGTTTTAAAAATTTTGGACATACTCCACGTGTCCTTAAAATATTTGGAGCTATCAGCAGAGCCTCTACAATTCGCCTGTTAAATTCTAATAACGAAAGTGTCTTAAGGTTGCCGTAAAGAAGCGACATGTTGACTATCGCCCCATTTAAGCAAAATATAAATATCGCCCAATACCATTTTTTAGATTGAATTCGAATCCTATATAAACCTCTTAGCTTATCGAATAAGTCAACACCACCCATTTTCTTGTTTTAGCGAACCCAACGAACAAGAGTGAGCTAATGTTGAGCCTGGGAAGTTCCATGAATTTGTTTTTTTATTGCTGGAAGTGGGACTCTTTTAATCATGTCTTTTTAATTGTGTCGATACAGTGTATGTTTTAATCTCTCAACCTCAATATAGATAACAGATTCTTGTAGAACTAAGACGTAATATATGAATTATTTTAACGTCCAGCGGTAACTGGAATCTAGAATATAAACACAGAGACTTGGCAATATTTTATACCAAGCAGGGGCGTACTAGACAATTTCTTATTCTTGAATATTAGATATTTTTTAAGGATTTTTTTTTTTTGAGAAACAGCTGTAGTATCCACGCTTTGAGATAGTGTACCTCGGCCAATACTTTGAAAAGTGTAATTGAACTGATCTTCCTACGCACTTCTGGTATCACCTCTCTCAGAATCATTTCCGTCATTTTGATAATATAACGTGATTCAAAACCAAAGTATTGTCATCTTTTAAATTCTTATATATTTTTAACAATTTCTCTGCATTTTTATTATTATAAGATTATTAGGATCATATTTTTTTGTTATTTTTTCTAAAACAGAAACAATATTGATCAGTTACCACGATTGCCCAACTTATTATATATAATACGCAAAAATCAAAGACAAAATACTCACCAGTATAAATTTCAATACTATTTATATCACTATTTGATATTTAGAAGTCTTACTAGTTGTACAAGAGATTTTTCAAAATGAGTTGAAAAGTCCTACAAACTCTGTGAAAATGCACCGGTGAACTATAATGTAACCTAACAAAACTCATTCTTTACCGCCAAGCGGTCATAAATTTCTAATATTATGATAAACAGTTACCTTCTAACATCTACTATGTAACCTATATTGGGAAAACAACTAATATTTACATTTTTTTCTGACTAGTAGATGGCGAAATATGTAGCATTGTCTCGCGTATTACATAAAATACGCTGGGCATTTTTGGGGGATTTGGCTAAAGGTAGTTTTCTCTGTAGTATTTAGACATATTCTTTAGGGCAGCTTCGAGATATTCCTCGATGTTATTGAAGTTCTTCGATCGTACCGCAATAGCATGAGTGATTCCAGGGATGTATTGTTGTCTACAGCCTCTAGGAAGGTATCTCCTGGATGTCCACTGGACTATCTCTACGAATTCTCCAAAGGCCTCCAGAATTGGATCGACTGCACCCAATTTTATATCTAGGTCCAGCTCATTTGGTCTTTCTGAAATTAAACCTTCTTCTAAATGGAATGAAAGAGGTTTAAATATATACTTTGATTCCGAACACGAAGCATAAATCTGAGTTGTAACCCTTTTTCCAAGTCTAACTATTTAAATAGATTGGTATGTTATATTTACATCATATATAGTGGCTGTTAAAGTTACCCAGAATAAATTTTATGTTTTAGACCAAACGTTATCTGGTGGTATAAAATTGAAGACCACCCTCTACGGTTTATATATATTTAACCTAAAACATAAAGGTTTTTATATAAAAAAAAAAACAAATGAATGATGTTATAATGACATCATCATAGTTGCGATCATTGAAAATAAATACAAAAAATAACATAGACATGCCTCGACCGTTTACTTAACTGATACCTAACGAAGACATTTTGCCATTTCCAAGCCAAACATTCACATTGTATAATGCATCATAATAACTGCTACTAAATAGACGTTTTATATTATGCTATTATATAATCCCTTTATTAACTGACAGCTTTTTATTAAACTTCCTACATTGTCTGTTAACAGTCCTCAATATAATGTCTTTTAGTTAAAAGACTCTTTTAGAGCTGACCTGACCTAAACGTGGAAACAGCCGATTAAATGAGTAACAAGCTTTGGATGGTTAAGCAGTAATATCACGGACGTACCAGACCACTAAACTGAAACTTTGAAATAAAAATTTAAGTGGTTATACCGGATATAAGCTTTTAAAACGTAAAACCGTTCATCCGCAATAAAAATTTAAACCAAAATTGGAACAGCGGTCAAAGGCTTGATATATCGTCGACTATAATGTTTACGTAACTACGAAGTATTAGTTTTTTCTGCTGAAAATTGTTAAAAAGAAATGCTAAATATATTTGGCTAAAATATATTTAATAAAGCGTGATTATTTTGAGTTTTCTTATTATTATTTCTTATTGAGACATAGTTCTGTCTATTAATTTTACTCTTTATCCAAATTCCTGATTCTTAATATTATTACTCCAGAACAATTTAAATCCTTCTTTTTACGTTTTCCTGATGGATTTCATTTAAATAATTTACCTGGCCATCTACCTTCATCTATGCGTACAACATGTCGTAACTACTTCAGAATTTTCTTTCTATTCTATCAGTTAACGTGTTTCTTGCATTAAATATTCTCTAATGGCCTCTGTAATTCTATTAAGTCTTAATATTCTGACGCTCTTTAGAAAATAGTTATTATCTACTCTATCATACTATATCATTCTATATCATACATTATTACAGATATTAAAAATTTTGTTTCAGTAGCAATTTTTGTTTTCTCTGTTAGGTATATGTATATAACCTAGGTAAACTATTTAAAAAGCATTTTGGGCAACTTTTACTGAGAGATTGGACAAATGTCTGTGATGAATAACCCCAACACATCCAAACTACATGAGATTAATTGGCGCGTTGATCTCTACCGCGAAGAGTACTATACGCAGAAGATATCGTAAACAGTATGTCTCAGGCTTTAATGAAAAATGTGAGAAATTGTATCAAGAATACAACAAAAGAGAAGACCTAGAAATTACGGACGAATTACTACACAGTTTGGATGCAGACAAACGAAAAAAAAAATAGATTTAAACTGTTCAAAAATTATACTTTAGTAAATTAAGCGGAAAAGCTTGGTCTTTACTTAATAACCTGGCAGCAAAAAACTTCCAACTAGAGACAAAGTAGCAATAGCTCCCAACAGAGTGGCCATCCACATTGTAGTAACCTCAAGAGCACCTAGAGATCGTGACCACACCACCAAAGTAAAACAAGAACTAAAAATACTAAAGTCTGCATGCCCGCCTACACCTTAATACTGCTTAATATGCTGAAATTATTTCAGCAATATTAAGAACTAAGTCTGAAAATACATAGGCTCTAATCGGTATAATGCATCCAGAATTTTTACTCCACTTTGGCCAATATGCTAGGAAGTGGCTGGCTGATTTCTGTACAGATATGTTAGAATCAGGAGAAATCCCTCAATCACTAAAAAAAAATCCCCCATAATATCAATATTAAAACCAGGAAACGCAAATGATCAGCCCCAAAACTACCAACCGACAGCACTGCTGAGCTGTGTCTATAAATTGTCGAAACCTACAGTAAAATTAGTAGAAAAATTTGAATTGATAGCTATTGAGCAAGCAAGGTTTAGAACCGCAGCTGCACAGATCAGATCCTACCCCTAAAAACACATATTAAAGCAGGTTTTATATTATATATTCCATATTCCATTATGCAAATCCTATTGTTCATCTCCTTAACTTATCCTTTGATTATTTAAACTTCAGAATATATGTAGGAAAATAATTTGACGGTTATCAAAAATAACTCTATTTATAAGTAAATTAATAACCCCCTCTGTGGCGCAGTGGTAAGAGCGCCTGCCTTTAAACTTAAAGGTCGTGAGTTCGAATCCCACCTGGGTGGAAATTTTCGTTTATTAAAAAAAAAATTAATAAATGAAAATAATTTCTATCCTTGTGTGATCGGTACACCGGAGGGACCGCAGACGTTCGGATACAATTAGCGTCTCTTAGCAAAGACATTGGCGTCGACTTTGCTAAGTATCAAGACAATTACTCTACACACACACACATACACTACACCTCAAATTGTAAGATTGGCGAATGGATTTAGTGTCCGCAGTCATTTAAACACAAACAAACAACAACAACAAGTAAATTAATACAGGACTTTTAAATGCCAATATTTTTAGATTTGACAATTAGATAAATATTCACACAAAATTTATTATAGATTTCTAGAGAATTTCTAGAATATTTATAGATTTCTAGAGACTACAACAAGAGACTTAGCGTTTATGGTGTAAAGATTGTGATAAGATGTAGATCGTTTATTATTTCTGAAATAAAACAACTAAAATAATTTGTATTTTTCTTTCAGAATTTCTCCTTGGAGAAGATGTCTTAGTCGCACCTGTTTTAGTGGAAGGGGCTACTTCAAGAAACATATATTTACCAACCGGTAACTGGAAAGATGGAATCAGTGGGGCAACTTTTGTTGGTCCTCTAAATATAACTAACTTCGAAGCACCTATTGATGTATTACCTTATTTTGTTAAAATTGATTAAGTAGGAATAAATAAATATATTAGTTACGTGATTTAGTTAAAAATTATTTTCTTATTAATAAAATATTATGGAACTCCATCAGTAGAGTAACGACATCCCTGGAGCAGATATTGAGTTTGATCACATCGCTTTTGTCAGTGATGCAAGAGTCAGGCTTAAACCAAAATGATAGACAACTAAGATGAAAAATAAAAAAAAAGAAAGCAGATCAAAAGTGTCTGATCACAGGAGATCAAGGAGAGAAATAAAATTAATTTTGGTAAAATAATGTAAAGATCTAGATAGCTTAATGTGAAGTTCAAAAGCAAGGGAAGCAAGAAAAACGTTGACAAACTTCTGACAAAATACCCATGAAATGATAAGATAAAAAAGCTTATAAGGGGACGAATGGATAAAATATTTCTCAAAGTTAATACAAGAAAAAGATATCTATGTGCTCCCCAAGATAACTTACAAAATATGAGACCGACAAACACAAAGTAACGATATATCTAACAACGAAATAACAAATGCGCTAAAAAGGATGAGTACATAGAATATATCTTACAAATAATGAATCACAAACTCTGTTCGAGTAAAAAATAAAAAAGTGGAAAAATAAAAATATCTTATGGTCTACATCAACTCCGAATTTGATCCAGACGAGTAGATCAGGTCACGAATAGAAGTGTCAATGGCAGTTTTCCTTAATTTCAGTAAGTTTACTATCGTGTAACAGAAATCTGAATGTTTTTCTAGGACTGACGTACTGCAGGGGGTAGAAACATGCAAATAGATCAGTAGATCAGAAGAACATTTAAAGTTTGGATATATTGAAAACTGCTGAAAATTCAATGGACAGCCGAAGTCACTAACGAGGAAGTATTGAGAAAAATGAATAGACACAAAAAGTTGTTAAGTATAATAAAAGTACGCAAAACCAAACACCTTAGTAGTAGAGTAGATAAAAAATACGTTTTTCATTTACTCCACCCTTCAGATCATAATAGAGGATAAAGAAGATGTAAAAAAGAAATAGATAGAGAGAAAAGTCATGGCTGCAAAATATTAGGGTCTGGAGAAATATTGACACGAACTGGAATTATAAACACATTTTTTTTTGTAAATATGTTCGCCAACCTTCGTTGATAGAGACATCATAAAGAAGAAGAAACTTGTAGGTAAAGGTAGAAAAGGTAAAAACGATGATATAATTAATATAAATACGAGTATATGTATTTTTAATAAATATTTATTTTTTCTTAATCCTATTTTAAATATAAACTTCTGTATGTGTTATATTAGGTATTTAATTAATATCTGGATCCCTGATTACCAGAATTGTATGAGTTAGGATGACCCTGATTGCCTTGATTATACGCTGGGTTGGGGTAACCTACACTTCCAGTGATGGGGTAACCTTGATTTCCTGTGTTGGAGTAACCTTGACTTCCCGTGTTCGAGTAACCTTGGCTTCCAGTGTTGGGGTAACCTTGACTTCCCGTGTTCGAGTAACCTTGGCTTCCAGTGTTGGGGTAACCTTGACTTCCAGTGTTGGGGTAACCTTGACTTCCAGTGATAGGATATCCAGGACTGCCAGAATTGTGATATCCTTGTGTTCCACCGTTTTGACCTTGATTATAGGGATATTTGTTTCCAGAATTGTATCCACTTCCTGAATTGTATCCACTTCCTGAATTGTATCCTTGATTTCCTGGTTGGTTTTGGTTGGAGTTATATCCATTGTTTCTGTTATACGGATCATTTGGGTTTGACTGACCGTTATTGTAACCAGAAGCAGGATACCTGTTATTGTTATTATTATTACCATAGGTACCTCCATTGGGGTTGTAATTAGGATTTGCCCAATTGGGATTTCCGTTATTGTTTTGTGGTAGGTGAGGATACAGAGGCCTAGAACCGTTGCGGTTCACCTGCCCAATTTGGTTACTGTTAGGATAATGTTGACCATTAGTGTATCCATTGTTATATGAACCATTTTGTCCATATTTATTTGTATTCCTAAAAATGTATTAAATTAAAGAGAGTAAATATAAAATCAGTTAAAAGTAAATTTGATCAATTAAATTTTAAAACAATATGAATGAATCATTTTTTCAAATAAATTTGGTTATTATAATAATATAAGTAGCAAAGAAGTCTGTATTGTCTATAAATTTGTACTGAATACATTAAACTCTTCATTCTTTGTTGTTTTTTATTATATCCACTCGATTGTTGAATCCTCCCAGATAAAAACAAGAACAGGACTTCAAAGAAATCTTTTAATGTGCGCAGTTGTTCTTCTTTTTCTTCTTTTTTTTATAAACAAAATGCTTGTTCAATGTCGATTAATGCCTCTATTGGAGGTTATCACTCCATCTTTTGCGTGGTCGCCCGATACTTCTTCTACCTTTTGGTGATTTGTCCCTCGCTATTAATTCTGACTAATCGGGTCTCTTCTGTTTATGTGTTCATTCCATTCCTTTTTTCTCTTCAGTGTCCACTCATTTATTTCTGGTATATTGCATTTTCTTCTGATCTCTTTACTGCTCATTCGATCCCTCAGTGTGTTTCCTGTAATTCTCCTCAGTAAACGCATCTCCGCTGTTTCTAGTAGTTGCTGAGTTTTGGAGGTATCCGGTCTTGTCTCTGAAGTGTATGTCATTATTGGTCTTATTGTTGCGTTGTAGATTCTTGATTTCACGTCGGTATTAATGTGGGGATTGCGCCATATCGTGTTATTAAGACAACCTGCTATTTTATTAGCCTTTTGTACTTGATTTTTCACTTCCTTCTCCACATCTCCGTAGCTAGACAGTGTAATTCCTAGGTAATTTGTCCCCATTACTTGCTCAATGCTGATACCGTCGATTTCCAGTTTACATCTAATTGGTTCTTTACTGATTACAATTGTTTTAGTTTTCTGTGTATAGATCACCATATTAAAGTCCTTTGCCCTTGTGTTGAATCTATACGTTAGTCTTTGTAGATCGTCTTCATTGGATGCAATTAGGGCCGCATCATCTGCATAGCAGAGTATTCTGATTTCTTTGTTCCCCATTTTGTATCCTCTTCCTTTATTAATAGTATTGATGATTTCATCCATGATTAGATTGAATAGCGTTGGACTAAGCGAGTCTCCTTGTCTTATTCCATTACCCACATCTATTGGATCTGTAAGCGGGTCATCTATTCTGACTTCCATATTGTTGTTCTGGTAAATGTTCTCTATTGTTTTTATAACATCTAGTGGAATTTCTCTATCGTAAAGAAGGTGAATTACATCTTTAAGCTATTCTTTATCGAACGCTTTCTTCAGGTCTATTAGACATATGAATGCTGGTCTGTTATACTCTAGTGCTTTCTCGGCACAGTTGTTGTTCATGCATATCTTGTATTTTTGAGAAAATTATAAGTAGAGCTTTATGCAGAGAAATAACCGTAATGAGGTAAACATCAGCAAATGAGAATATGGGATACAATCAAAAAAATCAAAAAAACAGGAGGTAGGAAAGCGTCCAAATAAAAAATCCAAAAATCTAATAGATATAAATAAAAATGATGTGCAATTATAAAAGGTCTCATAACATAACACTGTTACCTCAAGGAGTACATAAACAAAATTGGACTGAACGAAAGTGCGAAGAAAGAACGAAAGAGCGGAACACTTTCTGAGCATCTGTTTAGGCTTGGAAAGGATAGTGCTCAATACATTTAAGCAATATTAACTCAAGCCCCACGACTTCGTAGGAGTATCAGCAAAATCCACGATTCAAAGATTTGGTTATTAAAGTGGCTGAAACAAAAAGACACATTAAACCCAGGGATGAGCCACAATAAACCTATTAGTCAAGTAAAGGGATAGTTAAGCGCCCACTTAGATTGCCAACTCTAACTTAACTCTAGCTCTAGCCCACTTCAATAATGACATACGCAGCAGAAACAAGACCTGATACAGAGAGGACAAAAAGGATGTTAGAAACAGTAAAGATGAAAACACTTATGACAAATTAATAGTAGAACATTATGGGACTGAGCTAGAAGTACAGACATAAGACGTAGATACAAGGTGAAGAACATAAAGAACTAGAATGGAACAATCGTTTAAGCCGAATGACAACAAATAGAGTAGTAAAGACGGCAAGAGATGGTTCTCCAATAGGAAAACGATCAGTAGGAAGACCACGAAAACGACGGAATGACAACTTACTGAAAGCACATTGAAAAACAGACAGAGTCATGTCTATATAAAAAGAAGAAGAAGAATAACTTAATTCTAAACGAAAGTATATATTTTTTTAGTATTATAATGGTACGAGGATATATTAAGGAATATATTTTAGACTAAGGACCTCTTTGCATACATAAACTGGTACGAAATACTGGTGCAAATACCGTCCTTTTGGACCGTCTTTATAAACTGGCACCAGTAAATAAGGAATCTCTCATATGGATGACTAGAAACAACAAAATTTATTGGAATAAAGTCTAGTTGATAAAACGAGGCACTGGAGAAGCATTTTTAGGTCTAGATCGATTCTGCAGTATCACATTAGCTATAAGAAATTAAAATGAGTCTAACAACCCATGGAGAGTAATACTGGAACCAACTGAGACAAATACAAAAATATTACTGACAGTTAGGTAAAGAAATAATAAATCAGACTTACTCACAATCAATTTAATTTAACTATCCGACGACCGGTTTCGCTTTCTACAATATGCAAAGCATCTTCAGGTCTCGGTACAAAGTTAAACAAATGCTGAAATGATAAAAACCCATATTAGGGTGTTGTCTAATAAAGATAAACAAATTAGATGTTACAAATTACAATAATTATGCCAATATTACCTGTCTGTGGTTTTATTTAAATGATTGAGTTGAAAAAGGTATAAATATTTTTTAAAAAAGTTTAAAAAGTTAAAAGGACAAGGTAAGGCCCACAAGTTGTCATAAAATCTCTTCTATTGGAATAAATTAATGAATGAGCAAATAAATAAATGAAATAAAATAAAATAAAATTACTTACATGCCGGTACTCTATTAATAGATGGATGGTAGAACATGTTTGAAACTACTGTATATTGTTGAATGGAGAACTCAATACTATTATTGCAGTTGTTTGACAGTAAACGGGAAGTTCTTGAGGAGGTAGATTTGATCCAATGAATTTGAGATGTGTGTGAGATTGTTTGTTAAATGTAAGTGGTGTAATATATTATTGTGTTATTGAAAGTTATTTATACTTATTCCAGAGATATATTTTTGAAATGTGTGTTATTTATTGAGTAATTGTTTTATGAAGGTGACATTTATGACAATGAATAAGTCATTGTCATAAATGTCACACACCCACACAATTTTACATCTACACTTATTCATTGTCATAAATGTCACCTTCATAAAACAATTACTCAATAAATAACACACATTTCAAAAATATATCTCTGGAATAAGTATAAATAACTTTCAATAACACAATAATATATTACACCACTTACATTTAACAAACAATCTCACACACATCTCAAATTCATTGGATCAAATCTACCTCCTCAAGAACTTCCCGTTTACTGTCAAACAACTGCAATAATAGTATTGAGTTCTCCATTCAACAATATACAGTAGTTTCAAACATGTTCTACCATCCATCTATTAATAGAGTACCGGCATGTAAGTAATTTTATTTTATTTTATTTCATTTATTTATTTGCTCATTCATTAATTTATTCCAATAGAAGAGATTTTATGACAACATGTGGGCCTTACCTTGTCCTTTTAACTTTTTAAACTTTTTTAAAAAATATTTATACCTTTTTCAACTCAATCATTTAAATAAAACCACAGACAGGTAATATTGGCATAATTATTGTAATTTGTAACATCTAATTTGTTTATCTTTATTAGACAACACCCTAATATGGGTTTTTATCATTTCAGCATTTGTTTAACTTTGTACCGAGACCTGAAGATGCTTTGCATATTGTAGAAAGCGAACCCGGTCGTCGGATAGTTAAATTAAATTGATTGTGAGTAAGTCTGATTTATTATTTCTTTACCTATTTGAAATGGACTCACACAAGCAACAAATTCATGATTACTGACAGTATTAACTGAGTAAGATTTTTCTCTAATTTGCAGGATTTTTGTAAAATAAGATTAAAAGCGACTCCTAAAAAAGTGACTGGTTTGTGAACATAAAATGCTTTGTGGCACGAGGTGGTAATGAGAGGAAATATAACTATTGACAATAACAATATACAACAAACAGATACTTGCCCATTTTTGGGATCAAAATAAACAAAGACAATCACAAAGTACACAGACGGACACAAAATGGACGGACAACGAGAGTGGAGGCCCAGAAACTATGAAAGGAGAGGCCTGTCACGCAGAGGTTGCGATTGGCTCATTAATGATAATGATGAGGTGGTTATATAATTGTAAGATAAGTATTGAAGTAAAAGTAATTCTTAATGCTTCTATAAAAAATCTGCTGCCTCTCTCTCTCCAAGAAGTATATCACGATTAAGTGCTTGGGAGAGGCAGTGCCTTGCCTGAGTTCAAAAGAAGAAGAGATCATGCGCAGATGGATTTATTTTTGTCTGCATAATTGTGTTAATTGTAATAATAATAAACAATAAAATATTTATACAAGTAAATTAACGTAGTGTAATAATATAATAAACCTAACAAAGGCATTCTTATTAATTAAACAATATTAATAAACAAATTGCTTCTGGAAAATTAAAGTCATCAAAATAAATAGTAAAGTCAGTGTCATAAGCATTTTATGAAACATATATACATATTACAGCGAAATAGCATTTTATTCAGAAAAAATACATCTAAATAGTGATGTATTTGTATATTTGTAAATATAGTAAATTTTCAAACTCATTCAAACGTGTATTTTCAAATATAGAAAAGACAGGTATTTTTAATTATATAGTAAACACGATACATACGGTTGATTGCCAGTGGATCCTTGTTGATTTTGCCTATTTAGTTGATCTATTCTGGCTTTCATATCAGCTGCACGATCGGACGCAGCCAATTGAAGCAAAGTAACTGCACATATTATAAATAATATGTAAACTTTCATTTTTATTATATTTTTTGAACAATGTCTTCTCTGTGTGTTTAATATGTTAATCAACTACTACGTAAAATTCGGGTCTCCAGTGTCTACTAACTTTTGATTAGAAGGTCAAAAATAAGATTAAGAGGTTAATGCTGTAATGAGAATTAGCTGGTGCGAGAATAATATGAGATTAAGTGAAGGACGTACAGGTTCGGACTATAAATATATAAAATACTAGTCACGATAAAATTTTTATTCTTTTTTTCTTCCTTTACTTTTCTTCCCCTTGCTAGATGCTTAATTTATGAAGCTGGGAAATAAACATGTTTAGTAACAACAGCAAGTACTGCTAAATTAATTAGATGATGGAACCATAGTATAAAAGCAGAAGTCAATTAAAATAAGCTGCATAATTCATTTAGATAAACAAACACAAAAAAATATACAAACTATACCAGACATATAATATCCATTAAAAATTAATGGAAATTAAGTCAGAGAAGCTTTTAAAAAAGAACAGATGTGAGAAAAGTTTGGTAATAAAATAAAATATAGGAACATAAATGTCAAATTATTCCTGTCAAACGTTCCCAGAAACCTGTTTTGCCTTGTAATTTATAGATATAATCAAAAATCTAAAGTTTGGTTCTGACAACCAAGAAATGTTTGGATTTCTACTTTTTGGCCTTAAGGTCGATTCAGACACATCAGTCACGTCTCGTCACAGTCCTGGCGCCGAACCGAACAATCCGTCATACAAAATATTCTTTAATAGAAATATGGCGCCGGCATTCACATTCATCAGGCGACGAACAGTTTCCCAGCTGTCAGATAATTAATAGTTCTGTGACCAAACAGGACCGGTTCGGCGCCAATACTGTGACGGTGTCTCGTCACAGTCCTGGCGCCAAACCGAACAATCCGTCATACAAAATATTCTTTAATAGAAATATGGCGCCGGCATTCACATTCATGAGTTGACGAACAGTTTGCCAGCTATCAGATAGTTGATAGTTCTGTGACCAAACAGGACCGGTTCGGCGCCGAGACTGTGACGGGACTGATGTGTCTGAATCGACCTTTAAAGTGGATTTTCATATTGACATTGTTGACATTTTAACTTGAACTTTAACCTTACTTTTGTGGAGTGTTTATGTTTACTATTTGAAATATATTTAAAATGGAACAAAGACCTAATTATTATATAAAAATGCAATGAATAAAGTTTCACATTTGTGGATAGTTCATTGAAATAAATATCAATCCATCCAATAATCTCACACATAACACATATATATGACATATATGTCAAAAAATTTTGGATACGACAATCAAATATATTCGTAAGAAAAAATTTCTTATTTCGTGTCATCGGATATCGGATCTGTGAAAATCCAGCTGAAGTTAAAAATATTTTAAATATTGCACGAAAATCGGATGAATTTTGACATTGATGACTTTTTAACTTGAACTTTAACCTTACTTTTGTGGAGTGTTTATGTTTACTATTTGAAATATATTTAAAATGGAACAAAGACCTCATTATTATATAAAATGCAATTAATGAAGTGTTGCTTTTGTGTCTTCTACACTATGTGAGGCAAATATTCTCAGATGTCCTTGTAGCGTCTTTATTGAAGTTATTTACTATGGTCTGTTTTTAAACCAGGAGGAGTAATTCAAATTTTCCGCGCCATAATGCTTGATTGTAATTGGTCGAAGCGCAGGCAAGTTTACTTCACTAAATTATGACATATTGACACTAATGACATTTGAGAAATTTTAAAATTCAAAATTTATATCGACAATTTTCTGTATTTTCTGTGTTATTTCTTACATCTTTAGATTTGTCGTTTGCATTTATATAAAAAACAGTGCTTTTCAGAACTATTTAGCGACATATTAGTGTTATTAAGATAACAATATGGATTTAATGCCAAGTATTAGTGGTAATTATTCTTCTCCACCTTAAAAACGCCAAGTAGATTTGGATCATTTATCATCAAATGAGAAATAATGTACTATAAACACGTACAAACATAAAAATTGATAATTCTGGAATAAAAATAACAGCCACAGTAGTAAAAATAAAACAGGCAGCAGGTTAGTTTTAGAGAATAGTTATTATTAAAATCAAGACTTACTAAAGTAATGTGCCAATTTTAGGTGTTGCGAATTCAACTATTTACAACAATAGAATTTAGAACAATTAAAGAATATAAGCAGACTGGAGCAGTAAAATGTCCTAAAAATATTGAAGGTCGACCTTATATTCTTGCAATATAGGATGAAAGAGTTAAAACATCTATACGACAGATAGTACACATCTTCTTTTTCAAGAATGAAATGCTCCCTTTAGGTAAAATTTTAAGTGAAATTAACAACCGCTCAGATCTTTCAAAATATGTGTCGTTCATTATTATATAAATTCTTTAAGTAAATCAATTTGAAGTAAGTACAAATATCGGTATGTAAATATGGGTTAGCTACAATTATAAGTATAGTAAAATTAACTAAAACATTTTATAGATTTTATTTTTATAATCAGGTATTATTGTTACTATTAAATATTAAGTTTTAAGTTTTTATTTGTATACTCTACTGGAATGTTGTCAAGTATTTTGGTTCAACAGATATAAGAACAGGGAAAGGGAAGAAAAGGAAAAAAAATGATATTTTTATTTTACATATGCAGATTTAATGCAGCAAATATTATATAGCATAACTATAGATTGGTTATCTTACTGTTTATAGGATGATTGATTTATTGTCTATAATATGAATGTCTTACCATAGTTATTTTTTAGGGGAAATTATTCAAAGAATAGTTTATACATTGGGCTGCTGACCAAAAACAAAACTTTTTCGCTCAAATATCTGAACTAGATTCAGTTTTTGCTAAAAAAATAAATCAAGAAATTCAAAATGGTGTAGTTGTTCATTAATCTCACCAAGACATAAATGGAGAGATTTTGGAAGACTAATAAAATTATTAAATTTTTATTTTTACATTCATTCCGAATATATATTATGCACAGAATATTATTTAAATCGATTTCTGACTCTTTAAGTTGTTTTTGTAATAACTTGGACTTGGTGATATGTGATAATAGTATTTAATGTGATATTTTTCTAGCTGATATATATATATAATAAATAGAGTTTACAGTGTTTATAAATTTATAAAAGTATGATATTTATATCTAATTATTATAAGAAAAACGGCAACTATCTTTTAAATTTGTGTATACTTGTTAAGAAGCATTTTCATTTTGTTTTCATCACAATAAAAGAACATTAGTAATGTTGTGTTTTACTTTGATTGTATTGATACAGTTGGTTTTATTCTTCTTGTTTTAGATCATCACAAGAAAACTACAAAATTATACTAGAATGTAACATAATAGATTAAATTAGTTGATTATCTCACAGAAATCCAGTATTTTTTAGTAAATTTTATTTATTGATAACAAATGGGACAAACTCACTGTCAAAATTAAACAAGAATCCAGCATTAAAGAAATTGCAAGTACACACTTATTTAAACAAATTTATTGTTTTGCATTTAAGTGCTTCAAATAGATCCTTAAGATATTGATACATAAGTTAAATCTATCTAATGAGGTAACTGATTATCATGCATGAAAAGTAGGACCACACCTATATTTGAACCATAATCTATTCTGTGATATGAAACATGAAAAAGTCAATTCTAAAGCGGTGAATGGGAAGAAATATGTAAAACAAACTGGCTGAAGCAATTTAGGAGATTGGATTATTAAACTTTAAAATATTGATCAAAGTTAATTCTTCTGGCAAGAAAAAAAACCTAGATTCAAGAAATTAATCACACCAGAATAAGAATATGGTCTACGCAATTTAAAAAACAATATTTCAGAAATCTTTTCTCTCTCTAACTTTTTGGTATATGCATTTGCATAGCTTTGTTGCATATAAGATCTATTTGCAAATTAAAAGACAAATTTCTGAGAAAAACCATACTTAGATCTGTAACATTATTGACTCTCTGGATCAAAATATTCTCTAAATTAAGTACCATCGATCAACTCAAAAGATCTATAAAACTGGATCACCCGATATTTAAATATATATACATGGGACCAAATATGAAAAACGTCCTTTTTTATTGTAATAATTGTAATATATATTGGAAGTGAATTAAAAAAAAATATTATTTAAACATAATGTTAGGTTAGAATTGACGTATAAGGTTGTCCGATATTGATTACTCGATTACCGCAAGGCCGAGATATACAACAAAAAAAGAAGATGTATTTGGTGACTTTTCTAGTAACTTTCTTGGGTGTGAATCTGTCTTTTTGGTTTACTCCTCCTGGTTAAAAAACAGAGTATAGTAGACATTATATCGTCCGTATTATGTTGCTACGCTACGGAAATGCTGTCAAACGTTATCAAAGTAAACCGCGAAAATGCAACATAATTTTAAGATCCCTAACCAAATTAAAAAAAAAGCGGAAAAAGCAACGCAAAAGTTACTACCACATAAGTCAAGAGATGCCTACTATAAGGAATATTACAATACTGGATGACAAAAAACCATGTAGTGAAAGTGTGCCGTTTGTGTACTTTGCTATAATAAGATCTTTTCAGAATTGGCAGTGTTTTGTGAATTCATTTTGTGTTTTTTATGTACAAACAAATATAACATAAATCATAACAATATAACATAACATATAATATTCTATTTAGTGGTATACTTGATTTTGCATTCTACATTATTTGTTCTAATTTATTTTTATTTGCTTTATATTCTACAATAATACATCTGACCTGAAGAGTGCATTATAAAATCAACATTTTATTTCTTTAAAAGTATATATCGCATCCTCAGAGCAAGACTGCAGTAACTCAAAATTTTATGAAAATGAATAAATATTACAACAACAACAGTTTAACTATTTTACGTTTTTGTACATAAGTTCCGTGCAAAGCTGTTGTAAGTCTAATGTAACAGAGTTACAACAGTTTTGCACGGAACATTGCAATGGTTTCGATAACAAG